CTTGCTTTGCCCAGACGTGCTGCCTCTGTGTGCTGCGGCTGTGCCAGACCGAGCAGGTACGACATTGCCATCTCCATCTGTGCAGGACGCGGGGCTGCAGCCGCAACTCTGCCAGATGGACTTGCTCAGAGCTGCTCCAGTGATGGCCTGAGATGTGGGACTGTGTGGGTGTGCTTGAAAGCGAGCAGTTGGTGTTATAAGTAAGCAGGAGAGCTCACTTACCCTCTTTTTTATTTCTAGGGCTCTATCTTCTTCCCATTGCCAGATGGGACAGGCTTGTACTACCTCCTGCAAGGGACTGCTGAGGCCCCAAAGTGTTCAGGGACCATTTTCCGGCAGGTCCCATGTAGGACTTCCTACACTGAGCTCATCCCTGTCTCCAACTGGCTGAACAGACCACAGAGGTGAGTCTGGCCCTGGAAGTCTCGTCTCATCAGCAATCCCTGCAGCAGCGCAAGGAAGGGCTTCCCACTGCCTGGAAGCTCCTTCCTGTGAGCTTTTCACCCTCCTTGGTCGTTTCTGGGGCCATGCTACCCACGTTCTGCACGTGCAGACCCATCCTGGAGGGCTTTCCTCCAAGGTGGGTGGGAGCTGGCTGCCTCTGCCTGAGGCACTGAGGAGGAGAGGGGCTGTGTTGTACCCCCACACCACGAGTATCCTGTGGGAGTCCGGCCCGTTGACCTTCTCTGCATCCTTCTCACTCACAGGTTCCTGGTGATAGTGGACATACTCAAACCAGAAAACCTGGAAAAGAGTTCTGTGCTACAGGGGCTGGAATACATTGACGTGCCAGGCTCTGCCAAGAAGGACTACAAGCTCACCTTCCTCTCCTACAAGGAAGGAGTCTTCAACACAATGGTAAGTGTGGACACCGGGCTGTGGGGCCCTTTGAGGAGCTGTTGGCTCGCTGAGAAGCTACATGCCTGTTGTTACACCTCCGCATGCCCACTGGTGGGAACATCAGTGTCCTCAGTGGGTGCTGAGCAGCGGGCACCTCTCCGCACCCCCCCCGACGTGTCAGTCTCTCTGTGAGGGTCCCGCTGGGAGCTGCTAAGCATGGGTGGATCAGGACATTGGTGAGCTGCGAGCAATGGGCAAGCAGAAGACTGCCAAGCGGAAATACCCTGTGCTTTCCCCAGCCTTGCGCTCTTC